TTAATAAGCAAAACACTTTTGAGCAGAATATACTCATTAACCCTTCTTGAATTTCTTACAAGATTAGTTGCATATGTAACAAATAAAATATAAACAAGTATGATAATGTACGTTTTATCTACCAAAACTATGATCATTAAAAGCATGCAAAATTGATGAGTGTGAAGCCCATAATACATTATTTCTCCCACTTGGGCAAACACTCAAAATTACAAGATTAAACACTAGAGAAAGTGGTTTTCATATAACAAAATATAGGCTAGTTGAATCAATAAAGATAGTGTACACAATCCATTAATAATATAAGATGACAAATTTTTACAAAGTTTGGAGTTAGAAAATCTATCAAAATTGTAATCAAATAGGATTTGTTGCAAGGTATGTAAAAACTCCATCAGTATTTCCCAAGCTCTACCAAAATTTTAGATTTAATCATAATTTAAATAAAACCAATTTACAATCTTTAATATGCTCAAAACACAAAAATTTCTTAAATAAATTAAAGGTTCATTTCATTAGATAAATAACCTCTAATATGCCCAAAACATTAAAATTTCTTACACAAATTTGTTGAGTCACAAAATAGTTGGTTTGGACATAATAAACCAATCTATATGTATCCATGTATCAAAATTAGGCTTATAAAAGGAACAATATCTCAACATTATTAATCGATCTAAAAGTGACAAGTGATTAGATAAACCAATGGCTACAAAATTTATTTTAGTGTATGAGAGAAGACCCACATATGTGTTAAAGATTAGGTCATAAAGTAAAATGAAACCTAATAAGAGAATCCAAACTCAAAATTTATGTTTTAATTCTAAAACAAAGTCGATAAAAGTAAACACATAGATATCTCAACAACATCAACTTTTTCAACAATAATTTTAATCCAATTTAGAATTCACTGAAAATTAAGGCAAAAGATTGGCAAATTTACCTACTCATTCTCGATTCTGCAAGATTCATCATGGAAGTAGTTGAGTTGTGGAGGATCGAACCAACTCCAATTTGTATGATTGTTACACCTTTGGGCAGAAACTAATCATGCAAAGAAAATACCTGCGTAGCTAGCCAAAACATAAAATACACAAAATACATATAGCTTCAACAGCTTTGGCTAGATGAACATATGTTAAAAGTATTTTATGATTTGTTATAATACTAATTTATAATTGGTGAGTGATTTCCTGAATTTCCCATTGGGACAAAAGTATTCACCATATAAATTAGAATTCTGATTTTTCAAAATAATCTTTAGAACAGTATTAAATAACCGTTTTGTTGGATATTCAATGATTCTCAAAAGATTCAATCAGACACAAAAAGTATGTCGTTGTTGACATTGAACAATAGAGTTCTCAAAAGAAGAAACATGGTTATTCAGTTATTCGATAGGGACCAAAATGATCAATTAGTAAACTAATTCCACTTTCCAATTTTCTCAAAAGACAATTATCATCATAATCAGAATTGAAGACCAAACAAAACATTGGTTTAAGCAAAACAAACCAATACATCTTTAAATCAAAATTTAATCAGTGTTGTTTATAAAATTCATTAGTATTGAGAATTTGCATAACATAAGGACATATTGGAACCATAAACTTGTACAATAATTGGTACCAATTGATGTACACAAATCAGTCAAACAATATCACATAACAAAACTAGTTTGAAGTACCAAAATTCAGCAGTACTACTTTAGTTTGCAAATTCACTAAAAACTCAATTCTCTTTAGATTGTCATGAAAATTTTCAAGTATGAACTAGACATATATGACTACTATTTTGCAAAATTTCATGATTTTTAAAATCTTATAAGCGAGCCAAAAATGAATTTGAAAAGAGAGGTGCTGCAGAAACAGCAGAAAATGTTCAGTACATACCCGAGACTAAATAATTCACCAAAACTTCAATCTTCCTCCAATGTGTATGAAAATTTGCAGAAATAAAGTAGACATGTAAATTTATTGTTACCCAAAATTCCATGATTTATGCGATTTTAAAAGTGGGCTAAAAATAAAATCGAAATGGAATTTGCTGCAGAAACCGCATAAATTCTGCAAGACAGTCCCGAGATTAAAAATTCACCAATAATTCATTTTTAAACCAATGCTCGTCAAAATTTCCAGATTTGAAATAAATATCTCAATGTATATCATACTAAAATTTCATGAATTTATGAGTCACATAGATATTTCAAAATAATATCACAAGCAGACTATTCTGCGGAAGTCTGCAGAATTCCAACACTATGGTATCACACTTAAAAATTTACCATAAATCCATTTCTGGTCCAAAAAACGTGAAAAAATACCAGCGTCTAAAATCCATTTACATGACAAAATATTATATGTTATTGATGTTAGGGAAGTCTTATCAAACGGAAATTATTGATATGAATGATTTTCATATCAAAATTACATCAGTCACATAAAAACACTTAAGGAATGTTTATTCTTTTCTATGTCATAATTGAAACGGACAATCGATTTCAAAGAATACTAAAAGTAATATTCATTGCAATAATAGAAGCGACTATCACTTCATAGAGAAATAACCAAGAACTAAAACTTACTTATTCATTTGCATATGCACTATAAGGATAAGAGTCGAAAACTGCAAAATTGAATTAATCCCAAATGAAAACACTATATTTGCTCAGAAACAACATGATAGTTTTCAACTTCTCAATATTAATAATATCACAAAATCAATTCAATTGGAAACAAAAGCTTAATTTCAATTCAACCAAATTGCAATAATTTATGAAAAGCAGTTTCATACCTTCGCATGAATACCCCGAAATTTCAAGCTTCAATTCGAGCATTACAGTGATTGAAGGAGGTTGGTGTAAGCTAGGCATTGATGAACAGAAACCCTCACACGGGGGAGAAATTCTTTACTGTTCGCATGTTTTAACCCTTTCCTTTTTTTTTTTTTTTTTTTAATCAAATAGGAACCGGTAATATTTATCAACTAAATTAATAATCAAAAAATTATATAATAAATCAAAATATTACCCAAGATAAGATTAGGTCATCGTTCACCGAAAACAATAGTGACCTTGCATATATATATATATATATATTTATGAATTATCAATTCATAATTATCAAATAGCAGTCCATAAAGTCGCATACAACAAACCTAGTTGGAGTTGTATACCTAAATTTCAGTTTATCTTGATGCCCAGGTAAACGTGATAAAAAAAATTGCAAGAAAAATTTTGCAGAAAACACAACAGATGACACAATCTTCTCGGCAATACAAGGTTAACATATCCATTCAAGAAGAAAAAAAAAAAAAAAACGCGGAAGCAAGAAAAACCCCAGAATCATATCACAAGAGCACGATTAATCGAACCAAAAACAAACCCACTCTTAATAATTAAATGAGAGCCAACAAGAAAAATAAATAATTAAATTTCATGAAAACTATTTAAAGGCAGCAGTATGCATAGTCACCCCCAATCCAATCCATATGTTATTAACCATGAAAATGATTGCATACCAACACAAAATTGCGGAAGCATCAAAACAAATTTTCATGAGATGGAACAGTAGAAGGCATCCAACCAAAATGATAAGCAAATTTTCTTTAGTATGTGAATCATCTTCAATAAACAAATTTGCTTATACCTTTATATCGGACCCTAAGCTTGTTGTGCGGCTCTGATACCACATGTAAGACATATTCTGAAATCACAACAACAAGACATTAGGATCACGAATAAATCAAATCAATATATAAAATAGAGATCGACTAATTATATTAAACTTATCTGTAGAATACGGAAGACATTGCAGAGTTCTTGGTCGTCTTCTACTTCCAGTACTTCAAAATATCTCTCTGCTGTGAATAGGGTTTAGCGTATTTTTAGAGATTGAGCGTATGGAAGCAGGGACTTAACCATAGTATTTATATCATTAGGGTTTAATCACAGCCGGCCTATTATTGGTTGTGAAAATCAAATCCTATCACTTAAGTGTTTAAGTCCCACCATGATACTATATCTTTGTAGTGAAATCCATCAGATTTCTTTAAGTCAATTGCAAAGGTTTAGACTCCATAATCCTTATTATGTTAGGACTATCGGATCACTTTGGTTTGCTAACAACAACTTGATAGACAAGTGGCTTACAACAAAACGATCCAATACAACATTCATTATCATTCACAATCTTACACTCTTCACTTGGATTTCCTTTATCCAAGAAAGAGTTCAAGCTTGGAACTTTGTCCTTGACAACGTCCCCAAGGTTAGCATGTTTTATAACTTGACCTGCATTTGCAGATATAACGAGTGAGCTTCTTCTTTCCATGTTGTGAGCTTGTCACTATCTCAGCAGGAGACCCAATTTAATTAATTGATTAATTTTCAGTTAATAATCTGTCTATTGAACATAATGGCCAATTTGTGTCTTAAAACGTGGGGGAATTATAAATTGGACTCGATTCATGTCAATCAAAATACTTACAGCTAGAGATGAAACAGATGAATACGGTCAAATCACTTACCCCAAATAACTTCTCAACTGAGTCAACAAGTACTTGTTTCACTCGACTGCTTGGAACACTTGAAATCTGGAAACAGTCTTCTGCGATGATTAACTGAGTGGGTACGACAGGACCCGTATCAGGCAATTGGAGTAACACTCTTCCAAACTCTATTCAAAATCGCAGGATTCCTTGCAAAACCATCCTATATCAGAAGTTAGTGTCAAAAGGATGGTTTCCGATTGCTTAGAGTGCTAGATAGATCATTCACATAGGTAAAGCTTTCGAAGTACTATAGTTCCAATTGCAGAAAAACTTAAACACAGAAGTGTCACGAGTAATAATCAACAAAGATGCAGAATGCACGGATGGCATATGAATCATTGAAGCGGAGGAAGTTAGCTACTTTCTAGAAATAAAGAGAGATATTTCCTGTTACATAAAATCAAGGGAAAAAAACCGAAAACATGACCCTTTTTTGTCACGAACCAGAAATCTATTTCCTAAGCCAGTCTGCAATATAAAATGTCATTGATTTCTCACCCACTGTATCGAAACTTTGTGCCAGAGGAGTAACTCCAGAAGTAGAAATGACACCATGAGATGGCCGAAAACCCAAAAATTCCACAATGCGATGCAGAATTCTTACACTTCCTCCAGTGTCAGTTCCTGAAAAAGTGAGGGTCTTGTGCTTCAACATAAAGAAGCAAGAAAACAACAAAAGCACACTAGGAATAACTTACCTAAGGAAAAATCTGCGAGGCCTACAGCTACGGCAACAGCAGAACCGCTAGAAGAGCCTCCAGGCACCCTATCTGGAGCGCACGGATTTCTGGGTGTGCCATAATGCTTGTTCTCTCCATTCATACTGCCAACAACACAATGCAAAATTCAAGGGCGTTTTTGTTAAACCCCACCCCCAATATTTTCATACTATTTCTATTTTCCCCTAGAACATATTTGTTTTCTATCACTTTAGTCCCTTATTCTCTTTTAATCCTAACCTTTGATCTAGAAATGTTGTCTCTCTTAGACTGCCATGTGGCAGCTCTCATATCTCTCCCTTCTTCCCTCTATTCCCGAAAGACTCCCCTTCACAGAACCTTTCTTTCTTGTTTATTTTTTTCAGTTTCTTCCCTCTCTCTCTCTCTCTCTCTCTCTAAGCTCCGAGAGCTTCTCTCTAACTTTCACCTCATTTCCTTCACAAATCAAACCCCAAAAACCATATATTTGGAATCCTTGAGACCTAACGAACTCAATGGTACCCTTGCATGCGCCATCTGAGCACCGTGGGTTTTTCTGCCATTGAAGCCGAGAGCTTCAAAGCTCTAAAACTCGAACCCAGGTGAGGATTGTGTTCCTTCAAATTTCTGAATTATGCATGTTGGTTTTATGACAAAACTCAAGGGTTTCGATCTCAGTTTTTCCCTATGCTAATAATCTAGTTCCGACGACGAACTCTGGCGAGTTCGTAGGTGTGTGTGTGCAGGTGTGTATGTGTGTCCGTGTGTGTGTGTGCGCGAACTGTGTGTGTGTGTGAGCATGCTGTGCATGCCGTGTATACTGTGCGTGTGTGTATGTGATTATGGGTGTGTGTGTTGTGCGGTGCAGGTGTGTGTGTGTGTGTGTACCGTGTGCATGTGTGTGTGCAGTGCATGCATATGCAGACTGTGCATGTGTGTGTGTTTATATATGTGTATATATATATATTTATGCAAGTGTGTGTGTGTTGGTGTGAATGTATGTGTGCATGCGTGGGAGTGTGTGTGTGTGCTGGTGTGTAAGTATATGTATGTGTGTGTGTTTATATATATATATATATATGCATGTGTGTGTGCAGCGCATGCTTATGCATGCTGCGTGTGTATGTGTTTATATATAGATATATATATATATATATATATATATATATATATATATATATATATATATATATATATATATGCATGTGTGGGTGCAGCGCATGCTAATGCATGCTGTGTGTGTGTGTGTGTTTATATATGTATATATATATATGCAAGTGTGTGTGTGTGCAGTGCATGCTTTGCATGTGTGTGTGTGTGGGTGAGTATGGGTTGGGCTCAAGCCCAAACCACCTCTTGATCCTAACCTATCCAAACCCAAAACCCATTTCCATTTCCTAAAATTCTATCTTTTGGGTAGTTTATTAAATTGTACATTTTCGTGCTTAGGTGAAATTGCTAGTGGAGACTTCCTTAATCATTTTCCGCACAATTCTGCTGCTTCGGAGTATCTGTGAGTGGACCACCTTCGAAAATTGCATGTTTTATTGATAGAAATGCATAATTTAATAGCATGCCTTGCAGAATTATTGATTTGAGGAATACTTTACAGGAAGCATGATGATTTGATTATACGTGATTATATATATATATATATATGTTTTGAATTATTTCCATTATATCGTATTTTCTATAGAACCCTCATTCTGGCAGACTATCTGATCGATGATGATAGGATGCTAAGAATGTGTTTCAAATGACTTTCGAACACCTCTTCGTAGTATAGAGGATCGATGAATTTATGCTACGAAGTTGTATTTTAGAGATGAATTATGTTTTGTGCGTACCTAGTGAACACTATGCCGCTTGGGGCGAGGATCTGGTGTTGGCATTAAGGCCGGGAGAAATAATCCCTAGCGAAAGGCTGAGGGACACGGAGACAGGCATTGGGCCGGGAGGGAGATATCTCTGGCTACGGGCACAGAGACTGAGGTGCAGGCATTGGGCCGGGAGTATTGTTATTCAGTGCACTCACTAGCAGCACAACTTGTGTTATGCTTCCTGATACGATTTCTGATATGATTTTTGATATGATTTTCTGAGATTGATTTGCAGATGGATATATGAATTGTTTTTATGGCATGCTAGAGTTTTCTGAAAAGCTTATCACTTATTATTCTAGTAGTTTTCATAATTAAACTGTGGGGGTTAGTATGTTCATAACTGTTTTCGTACTACGTATGTATATAAACTTGGTCCACTCACCCTTGTTTTGCGCCCCCATTCAGGTCTTAGAAACGAGGCATAGAATCCCGGCATTAAGGTACTTCCACAGCGGCATCTTCAAGTCCTCTCGGGGTAGGACCCACTCCTTTGTTCATTCAATCTTATCTTAATTCTTGTTAGTGACTAGGTTTAGCTGTATGCTCTGAACACGTTCCTAAATTGTTAATTCATTGTTTTTAAATTCATAACCCGTATTTATTTCTTATTCCTAGCTTTTGTATCAATTAATGGCTTTCGTCACCCTCGGGTGTCGGCCATCACGTGTCTATCCTGGTATTCAGGGAATATCAGGGTCGGGGCGTGTCACGTTTTCTGTCGAGTGATTTTCGAATGTCCAAAATCATTATATAAATACTTTTACCACGAAAAGAGACTTGTAGCGATCAATCATTTGTCAAAATTTTTGGGAACAAAACAGTAATGCAAGTTTAAGCATGTGAAGTAAGACAAGGCCTCTTTGTACTAACCAGTATGCCATTTCATCCATGACAGTTATACCAATACTTGTGGCACCTCCACTCAATATTGCTGAAACAGCCGGAGCTGTTGATTCAGCAGCCGGGTGAGTCCTCGCCCAATCAGGATTCCCAAACCCAGTCACACGTCCAGCCACATCAAATCTGCCTCCAAGTTCAAATTTCAGTGAACACAAAAATGTTTTGGCTTTTACACACACATGAAAAAAATTGCACAATTCAACACCCTGAAGTTCACCATCATGGTTCCACAAGCACGCATAAAACCACACAAAGCATGAAGATATATTAAAACGCTTCTCTGAAAAAGCACTTCTCATCATAAGTGCTTTTGCTGGAAGTATTTTTACTTTAGTAGAAGTAAATCCACCACAAAGTTTCATTAAAAATTCAAGTGCTTCAGAAAAAAACATTTGAACTTTTTTTTCTGTAAGTGTTTTTAGTCATTCTCAAATGAAGAAACGCCCAATCACAGAAACAACACACAAAATTGGGTTCTTGGAGACAACTGATTGAACCCAAATCCGAAATCAGCAAATAAGCACAAAAGCATATGAATTTTAAGTATAACACTACAAAATTTAAAGCATCCACCAAATAGAAGAATGATATAATTGAGGAAAATTTAAGAGAGTAGCTCTCACATGTCTTTAACAGCAAAGGTGAGGCCGCTCAGAGGAAGGTCATGTGATGAAGACGGCGGTCGGAGAAGGAATTTCTCCACGAAAGCTCCATGATCTGAGTCTATCGCCATCTCTCTCTGCCACTGCTGTCTCAGATAATCTCAGCCTCGGCAGCAGCTCCACATTTGACGACAGAAGTGAATAGCTCTCCACTCATCAATCATACGATGATCCTATTCAAATGCAAGGACAGATTATTCCTTAAAAAAATCTGTTGTTGATAGGTGGTCACTTCAGTCAGTGAGGGCAAAGTGGAAATTCTGGAGGTAGTAAGTCCTTACCATGGTCCTTAGACTTTGAGAATTGATAGAAATGGTCTTTAAATTTGTCCACTGTAAATTATTTTGCTCTAAAAAATTTGTCAATATCCTCGTTGAGTGGAAGGGTTGATTAGACAAAATATCCTTAGAAAGAAGGACAATTCAAGGACCACTTCTATCGATTTTCATTATGATGATCAAAGTGAGGAGTTCTGCCAAGGGGTGTGATATCCACACACCCCTTTTTACTTCTCTCACACTTTTTTAGTTTTCGGCCGTCGGATTTGATGAATTGAAGAAGATCAACGGACATAAATTAACAAGGGTGTGTGAGAAGTAAAAATGAATGTGTGGATAACACACCCTTTCTGCCAAAGTCAGGAACTATTTTGACTAAAATTCTAAAAAAAAAAAAAGAATTGTTATTGGCTCTCCAAAAATCTCATTCTATACTCCAAACTTTCTATATTTGGAAAGAAAAGTACACTTCTGAGGAGTGTAAAATGAGATTTTTGGAATGTCAATAACACTTCCCAATAACAAACATATTCTATGAGAATATTGTGAATTTCTTAGCTTATGGATCCAACGCAAGTACAAAATGTATTAGGGTTTTTATCACAAATGGTCCATGAGATTGATCAAACTCATTATTTTAGTCCCTCACTTTCAAAATGAATCAATGTCGTCCCTGACCTTCACTACCGAACATCAATTTGGTTATTCCGTTAAGATTTCGTCAACTATTCTGTTAGTTTATATGCGGGACCCAACGACATTGATTCCAATAACAAACATATTCTATGAGAATATTGTGAATTTCTTAGCTTATGGATCCAACGCAAGTACACAATGTATTAGGGTTTTATCACAAATGGTCCATGAGATTGATCAAACTCATCATTTTAGTCCCTCACTTTCAAAATGAATCAATGTCGTCCCTGACCTTCACTATCGAACATCAATTTGGTTATTCCGTTAAGATTTTGTCAACTATTCTGTTAGTTTATATGCGGGACCCACAAATTCAATGAAATTGTGACATGTGGATTACACAAAATAAGGATTTTTATCGCAAATGGTCCTTAACATTGATCCAACTCCTCATTTTGGTCTCTGAGTTTCAAAAATCAATAAATTTGGTCTTTGACTTTCAATACTGCATGTTAATTTAATTATTCCGTTAAAGTTTCGTCAATATTTTTTGTCCCACTAATTCAATCATATGACGCCACGTGAATTAACTATAAGAAACTATTTTTTAAAGATTTAAAACTAAAAGTAAAATAAGAGACTGAAAACCAAAACTAAAAGAAAAAAAAAGTCATCGTCATCTTCAGCAGGGTATGCTAAAAAAGAATAGGAAGGCATCATGACACCATTAAAGTACTTGGCCTCCTAAACTTACTCCTCATTATCTCTAGTTAGTTATAATCCTATCAACTTTGAATTGAATTTGGATTCGATTTTATCATATCTAGATTGAATTTTTTTTCAATTGGGGTTACACATTTTCGAAAACGATTTGCAAAACTTTATTTTTCAGGCCTACTTATCCTTGTTTTCCCCCCCCTCTAGGAATTTTGGTGGCAGAGATTTCATGACAACGAGGATTGTTGGTAAAAGCTGTTATGTAGGAGACTTCTCATTTCGTTGTAAATGTCATTACTCTTCTTTTACTGCAATTTATCTATGATTTTACATCACTTGTGTGATATGGATTCAATCCCGCTCACATGTGCAGTCTAAATTGGTCACTTTTAGGTTTTAATTTATTCACATTTTCCATATCACTACACTTTATGTCTTTGTCACCTTTTGAGTGTCAGCCAACACATTGCGATTCGGATGACTGCATGGACATTCCGGATCGAGGTGTGTAAAAAATGTACATATAAAGGCTACCGATTTTTTGTATGTAAAATGTCATTAATATAAGTAATGACAAATCATGGGTTTTATTTAAAAATAGTTTATCTTAATAACAAATCATGTGATTAAGATAAATTATACATTTTTATATAAGTATAATTTTTTTTTCAATCCCACAAATCATGGATTTTATTTAAAATCTCATTAATATAACTAACTACAAATTCCCATATTAAAATATCAACTTTTAATTTGAAATTATAATAACCTACATAGAAATTAATTATTGTATTAGTTTCAGAGACTTTAATAAAAAACTGAAAACCAAAGGTTTCAATCCAAGGACATTAATAAATAGGGATCGCATCCAAAGCCACCCTTATACTATCCAAGTATATGAAGTGGGTATTTTCTCCTCACAAGAGAGATTACGAAAAGCAGTGGAGTGATTTCTACTCTCATTTGGACATGTGCAGTCCCTTTTACTTTCTAGCCGTTGTATTGATAATTTAAGGACAAAATTAAGAAAGAAAATACAAGAGGTGAAAGGGAGAGTAAGGAAACCACTTTTTTTGTTAAAATGCGACAATGAAGAGTAAATTGTAGCAATAGTCTCTCAATTTTAACCAAATTGGAGCAATGTTCCCTCAACCAAAAATCCATTCACATTGGTCCCTTAACTCATCAAAACGTGAAGTTATGGTCATTTTCGTCAACTTCTATCAGAACTCTGTTAAAATGAGTTTAGGGACCAATGGTAATGAATTTTTAGTTGAGGAACCATTACTCCAATTAGGTTAAAATTGAGAAATCATTACTACAATTTCCTCCACAATGAAAGCTAATATATAAGCTTGATAACTTGCTCATGGACAATACACAAGGATAAAAGCAGGAAAATTCCTGTCTATTTAAAACCGTATGAGTGATTTGGCGGTTGTGGTGCTTTTATAAAAAACAACTTGTCAAAAAATCCCGAACATCAAATGTATTTGGTAAAACAAAAAAAAATGTTTATTTAAAAAACTGTTGTCAATGACAACAGAAAAGCAAAGAAAAGCAGAAGCAGGTCTAGTATGCTTCTAAAAATTTCTAAGCATAATGAATAGTGGGCATTTAATGAAATTTTCAAATAACAAATATACCCCCTGCATATTTTACAAAATAACAATAGTTTCTTTTTGACAATTATTATATCACATTAAATGTCATATCATTTTTAGTATTTAACATATTCACATCAATTTTATATAAAAGTTTACAAAACACTCTTATACTTTTTTTTTTACAAGCACTTTTACGATAGAAGTTTATCAAACGCTCAACAACTTTATTTTACAGCTGTTTATCCTCAAAACACAGCAGAAACAATTTTTTTTTAAAACATAACAATACCATACTAGCAGAACTTACAAGCACATATATTAGGAAAAGATTATCAGAATCTGCAACTCAAAATCTTGTAGACAACACTCACAACTTCCCGACGTGTTCTTTGAGAGTGTCGTAAAGAGTCTCCACAAGATTGAGCAGGAACCCATCCGAACCATGCTTTGCCAGCAAGGAAACAGAAACAGGTAGGTTATCGCACATCCCTAGTGGTATACTCACCTGCAAATACGTAGAAATAAGTTACAAACTTTCGCAAGATACTTGCAGTCAATGACGAAGAAAAAGATCGTAATAAGTTGTATACAAACATGGAGAGGGGGAGGAAGAGGTAGAGATAGATAGAGGGTTTAAAAACCTGGCAGAATCCGGAAACTACGGCAATGGATAGGAAGCTGAAAGCCCTGGCACGAAAAGCTCCCAGTGTAGTAGGATCTGTTTGCAGCTTTGGTGGATCCCCTGGAACTGTAGGCATTGCGAGGACACCGAAATCCTGATGAGTAAATCAAAGAGATTGTGTTACGTATTCATTAGAGACAGTATGTATCATCCATTTTTTCTGCTAAAAGTTTCATTTTAAGAGCAAAAGGAAGGAAGAAGCTAACAAATGACAGTTTCAGTCTCTCTACTCTAACAAAATGAACTCATTTGATATGAAGCGATGGATTCCTAAAATGAACTTTGGCGTGTGCAAAGATGAGAGAGAGAGAGAGAGAGAGAGAGAGAGAGAGAGAGAGAGTACCCCGAGAAGGTCAGTAAGAGCAGCACGCAATTCAGTCATCACGGAGTGACAAACATCAACATTTTCATCTGTTGACCGAACAACTGCCCATATACGTTCTGCTGTCCCAGGACCTAAGTCAGGTCTGACTGTACTAACCCATTCACCATGGTTGCTCTTTAATTCATACCTGATCTATCAACCAAATAATAAATTTGGAATTCATTATGAACAACAAATTTAATTTTGTTAATCAAGATGAAGATGCAGAAATGATCACTCATATTCAAGTCCACCAAATCAGCACCTTATGAGAAGACGATTGGCGGTTGATAGGGCTGCCAATGACGGTATAATGTACTCTTCACTTGGATTTCCTTTATCCAAGAAAGAGTTCAAGCTTGGAACTTTGTCCTTGACAACGTCCCCGAGGTTAGCATGTTTTATAACATGACCTGCATTTGCAGATATAACGAGTGAGCCTCTTCTTTCCATGTTATGAGCTTGTCCCTATCTCAGTAGGAGACCTAATTTAATAAAGAGAATGATGATTTTCAGGTAATAATCTGTCTAATGAATTTAATGGCCTATTTGTGTCTTAAAACGCGGGGAATTATAAATTGGACTCGATTCATGTCAATCAAAATACTTACAGCGAGAGATGAAACAGATGAATACGGTCAAATCACTTACCCCCAAATAACTTCTCAACTGAGTCAACAAGTACTTGTTTCACTCGACTGCTTGGAACGCTTGAAAGCTGGAAACAGTCTTCTGCGATGATTAACTGAGTGGGTACGACAGGACCCGTATCAGGCAATTGGAGTAACACTCGTCCAACTCTATTCAAAATCGCAGGATTCCTTGCAAACCATCCTATATCAGAAGTTAGTGTCAAAGGGATGGTTTCCGATTGCTTAGAGTGCTAGATAGATCATTCGCATAGGTAAAGCTTTCGAAGTACTATATTTCCAATTGCA